CACAGCTGGCCCCGTCGACACAGCAACACGCATAGCTGGCCCCGAGGGTGCAATGACCCACACAGCTGGCCCCGTGGACGCAGCGACACGCACAGCTGGCCCTGTGGATGCAGTGACACGCACAGCTGGCCCTGTGAACACAGCGACACGCACAGCTGGCCCTCTCTAGCCCTCCCACACACTCCTGCTCCCACAATTAGTCTGCAGGCCTCTAGGAGTCGACCACACAATCTTCGTGCCACTTATATTAATTATGGTTATAATTTGATTAAGCATTCAATAAACTGATAAGTATGAAGAGTTGCTGGGAACACTTTGGAGTAAACAAAACGGCCAGAGATGAGGCGACGGAGTGGCAGCCGTGGGAGGCTGTGAAACACTGGGGCGATACGGGATGTTTTCCTTCTACACCAAAGAACTAAAAACTAGAAATCACACAGCAGAAAGATTTGCATAAAGGAAGATCACTCTGATAAATCATAACGTTAAAAGACTGGCAAGAACAACATGTTGGTAAGCTTTAGATCAAAAATAGTTAAGGTGTACATCTATTTATCAGTTTTAAAAATCCCTGCTTTTTCTTTTTCAAATATATGCCCTATTTATGGAACACTACAGAACATATATGTTAAATAAATAATATATTGCTGATGTTTCATTTTATTTTGAGACCTAGAGTACCATCATGGCCACCTCAAACTCCTGGCCCGAGGCCATCCTCCTGCCTCAGCCTCCCAAGTAGCTGGGCCTCCGGGCGCCTGCCACCATGCCTGGCTAATTTTTCTACTTTTGATAGAGATGGTGTCATGTTTTGTTCAGGCTGGCCTTGAACTCCTGACCTCCAGCCACCCTCCTGCTGTGCTTCAGCCTCTCAGAGTGCCTAGAATCCTAGCAATTAATATCCATAAACTCTACAGACCTGATTTCTAACATTTTCAATGTAGACTTGATCAAGAAGTTCATTTCCTTAGCAAGTTCATGAAGGTGCTGTGTTCAGTGAAAGGACTCATCATACTATTAGTTCATTGATCCCAACAAGGTACAATGAAGTATTTAAGATTCATTAAAGCAAAGTCCCAGCAGAACTGCAATAACCATTACTTGGAAATGATGAGAGGTTTTCTACATTGGTTGCCGTTTCTCAGAGAGCAGGAGAGAGAGAGAGAGAATGTGCCTTAATAATTTAAATTAATATTGACAGGTAAGGGTAAAGTCTATCTAAAATAGATTAGAATTATTTGATACTTAGAAAAAACATTAGCTTATTTCTAAGTGCATGTACATAGGAAAGACTTGAACTAGGCTATCAGTGTTGAATAATTAAAGTTTTTAGCTGCAGTAATTAACAAAAGGGAATTCTATGAATAAGGAGGGTGTTAATTGCATGTCTGTAAATCGATTAGTTAAGTGCTTAAAAAAATTAGGAAACTGTTACTCCCTTTTAATTTACATTATTCTAAGAAAGGATTTTGCTGACCAAAAGTAAATTATAGCTCAGACATTGCTGTTCCAAATTAGTATATTCCTGACTAAGGGGGAACTGGACATTCTAGAAAGGTTTCAACTTGAATTCCTTGGCTCTTTATAATGCTTGATTTAATCAAGATACATCTGCCCGCTTTCATGTCCTTTAACGTACCATATCTTGTGCATGGGAAACGTTGACTTTTTCTCACTGGAGGCATGATGGCTCTTCTCACTGTGATTAGCTAGCTCAGTATAAAATGTACTTTGCTAAATAAACTCACGAAGCATAAAGGATTCTGAGTCTAGATACCGTTGCATAATAATCAACCTGTTACCTTTGCACTGGGAAGGGTCAGACTTAATGGCTTTTGGGATCACCACTATATATGCAAATGATTCCTTCGAAACAGGCAGCCATTTTTCACACTCTAATTGCCTTAAAGTGAGTCAAGGAACGTACAGATCATGTCATTCGTTTCAGTTGGATATGACAACAAACCAGTTTCGTGTCTTTTCTTTCAAAATTCATGTTTAAGTTATTTTTTGAGAATCCTTCACATTATAAATTTAAGGCTCATCGTTTAAGAATCCAACTTTTTTAAAAACTGAAGATTACTGGACACATTTGACTATTACTTATTTGGGTCAGAGTTTATTAGAATAGCGGTTAATTGTACTGTCTGAATTTGACGCTTACCCCTGATCAGCTATGTAACGTAGGCAAGTTATCTGGCCTAACTAAGCCTCCGGGTCTTTGTTAATCTATAAAAGGGGGATAATAACATGTATCTCATAAGTTTGTGCTGATTAGATAGATTCAGCTTAGACACCCGCCTGTTGCACAGTAAGCACGTAATCAATGACGCTGACAGTGCTAGAGACTCTTTCATAATCCTGACACGCCATTCTTGTCCTATATTTGACATCGAACAGTTAAGTTTGCAACTCATCCTAGAAAAAGTGCTACAGACCTCACTGCTGAATTATCACCATGGCTACCTTTACACTGACCCTAGTGCCTCGTCCACCCTTCAAAGCAATTTTGGAACTCTTTTTTCTGGAATGGCCCTGGGATCGTCTGAGGTCCGACAGTTAAATCTGCAGACTAGAATAAGTGCTACGTTCTTCATTAATGAATATCACTGCGGTCACCCCATGGCCAAGGAGAGGACTTTCAAAGTGCCCTTCCTTTCTAGGAAGAGTTTGTGAACTTAGTTGCCTGACTTCACATCCCCCAAATATCGAGGGTGCTCATCTCCATGTCGGCGCAGGTACCCAGTAGGCATCTCGTGTTACTGGAGATGACGGGACTGCTGCCGTCCCCTCCGGCCCTGGGTTCCTGTCTCAGCAGGTGCGTCATTTCTCAGGACCTGGGCCGTGCAGCCTCCTCCAGGCTCTTTCTCACCCACTGTATTCAGTTCATATCAGCTCTGTCTTTACGTGTCTGGATCTCGCCCCTCACCCCTCCATCCACCCAAGCAGCCTCATCTTTAGCTGGGCAGCTGAGAAAGACTGGACAGAGCTCCTTGTTCTCGCTCTGGACCCCTCAGCCTATTTCCTGCTCAGCTGCCAGAGTGAGTCTTTAAAACGTAAACCAGGCGATGCTGCCTCCTTGCTCAAAACCCTTCAGCACCGTCCCAGCACCGATTCCAAACCCCTTCCCCGTCTAAAAGACCCTCTGTGATTGGTCTTCTGCGTCTTGACCTCCCAGCACTCTCCTTCTCACTCACTGGGCTCCAGCACTGTGGTCTCCTTTGCTGTTCTCTAAACATCTTTTCTTGATTTTGAGACAGGGTCTTACTCTACTGCCCAGGAGCACAGTGACATCGTCATAGCTCACAGCAACCTCAGACACCTGGGCTCAGGTGATCCTCTTGCCTCAGCTCCTGAGTAGCTGTGCCACCATGCCCTGCTTATTTATTTTTTGTAGAGATGAAGTTGCACTATGTTGCCCGGGGTGGTCTCCAATGAGATCCTCCCTTCTTGGCCTCCTAAAGTGCTAAGATTACCAGCATGAGCCACTGTACCTGGCCCTCTTTGAGCACTTTGAGCTTTTGAAATACATCTCTGCCTCTGCCCTTTCATCCCTGCCCATCCTTCTGCCCAAGGGGGAGAGGCACCTTCCTGGGATGACCCAACAGTTCTCTAGCTCACCTTGTCAAACAGCAGCCTTCTCTGACCACCTGGTCGAGAGAAGGGCCTCCACAGCGCCCTCTGATTTCTCTGCAGCCTTGCCCCAACTTATTTCCTATGTGTGTACATTTGCATGTGTGTACGTGAATATATGTGTGAACGTGTGCATGTACGTGTACATAGGCATGTGCGTACATATGCATGTATGTCCGCATGTGGGTGTATGAGTGTACACACATGTATATGTGTGCATCTGCATGGATACACGTGTGCACACATATGTATCTGCATGGATACACGTGTGCACACATGGCTTTGTATACATGTGTGTACATGTCCGTGTGTATGTGTGCATGTGCATATGTCATGTAGGTATACATGTGTATATGTAGACACATGTATATGCATGCATGTGTACATACATACACATGTGCATTATATAAATATGTGTGTGTATATATGTGCGTATACATGTGTCATGTATATATGTATGCATGTATGTATGTGAAATTACATACAGGCTGTCTCCCAACTCATGCATAAATTTCATGAGGTGAGGACTCTGTTTTGTTCATTACTAGATTCCCATTGTTAAGAAGAGTGCTAGGGACTTTGTAGTTATTAAAGAAAGAGTTTTCAATACATGGAGAGTTTTCTTTGGGTCAAAATCGGCTTGGGTTTAGCTAAATACTCCACTACCAAAACCAAACCCCTTTCCCTGAACAAAAAAGTGAGCAGACAAGTTACATGGGATTAGTTATTCCATATTTCACACACATGTAGACAATTTACAGGTCTTAGTTTGAAAACAGGGACCTTTATTTTTATTCAGGAAACTTGGTAGAATTTTTTATCCAGGAAACAGAATAGTGGTACATACTGTAACAGAAAAGGTACCTTTTATTTTATCAGAGTACCAGAAGAATTAAGTATTAAAAACAACAAAAAATTTTCTGCATTTGAAACCATCAAATCATTAGTTACTTGGTCAAAGTATTTGTAACAAATGAAAACAGAAAAAAGTTTCCCCTGGTTTTATTTATTACTACATGGCTCTATATAAAGAGATTATGATATTATGGGATAAAATTGTTTTGAGACTAAAATAAAAGGAAAAGTCACATCAGAGTGTTAATAAGCTAAAACATATTTCCTTCCATTAAGAATTTCTTTTTTATGAAAGTCTCAGACTGTGTGGTTCCAAAACATTAAATAAATACGTGAGATTTAAATTCACCATGAAGTGGTTTTTACCTTCTGTATGTTTAAATTATGGGCAGCTACTATGAGTCATGAAAAATAATTTTACAATATCATCAAGCTGTGGACTCTGATCAATGCAAACCAGTATCTGAGTGAACGGTCCGTAACTCTCTGAACCTTTATTATTTTATCTGTACCTCTCCTCTAACACTTGGCAACATTTTACACGTCATTTGCCAGGAGTGGCATTTTGGCCTCTGGATTTCTGTCTGTCTTGTCTCTGCAGTCTCCTGCAGCGCTAGCACAATGGCCTGGATACTTGTACGTTTTCTGCATGGAAGAATGAATGGAGGAGGCTGAGGGTTAAAGCTGTCCAAATATAATGATGAGTATCTATTTGGAGCGTCCAAATGAGTCCAGTTACTGCTTTTTTATCACATCCTAAGACAGAAGTACAGAGACTTACATAAACATCCAGACGTGGGTCTGGATTTATAGGGACTGAATTTCGCTTCCCGGTTTTATCACAACTGTGATACGGCAGTTAGTCGTGTGGTCCTTTGCCCAACATCAGTCCTCTCTACTTCAGATTCCACAGGTAAGGACCGCACTGGCTTCTGAGAGCCTTGCCATCTCCCCATAGTAGAGGCCCAACCAATATATTCTGAATCTGTGAACACAGTTAGGGCCGTGCCACTGAGTGACTTGAAAACGATAGGAGTCACTGTGGTCCCAGTGACTCGGGAGGCTGGCGCGGAGGATTGCTGGAGCCTTGGAGTTTGAGGTCACAGCGAGCTGTGATCACACCACACTCCACGCTTATCTGGGCAAAGCTCGACCCTCTCTCTTTGAAAAACGAAAAAGAAAAAGAACCTTCCTGAATCCCCTTCCTGGCTCAGTTTACCAGGCACTCTCGGCTTCACGGACTCTCACGATCCGTCTGTCACTGGTTTTAGGACACACACTTTCCACACGCATGCTACACCAGACAGGTCTTAGCAGCATGTACGGTCCAATTGGAGGGAATTTTTTCTTTCTTGAGTACTACATGAAATGACATTCTTAAGAAATGATATTTTCCAATCAATGAAATGCGCTTATTGTTAATTTTATTTTAGTACGAAAAGCACAGAAACTCCAAGTACTCACATCGATTAGGTCTGAGAGATCATGAATGTAATACTTGAAAACTGAGGCGTTGGTCGCTTCCAGCGTCAGAAGGTACTCGTTTCGGGCCTTGATTGATTTGAGCTTATTTTCTGAGTATTTCGCTTGTCTCTGAAAGGAAGAAGACCCAGGCATTGGGAAAGAAAGCAAATCTTTTCAAACAAGACAGGAAAACATACATGAAGTCTTATTCATCTAAACGATTTATTCCACGTATACAAATGACCGTCGAAGTCCTTGGCCAAAAGGACGTTTCTAATCTGATTTAAACAGCAAACTAAAATGACCAGCTTTGGGGAATAACAACCGTGTATTTGGGTTGGGCCTCAGGCCCATTTGCAGTGAAATCTCTCTGTTAATATTCAAGTTCCCCACACTGTGTACTGAATACTTGGCGTCACCTCTAAATGACGTCCAGCTGTTAGGACACGATTTCCACATTTCTTAGGCATTTTTCCCTCCTGGGGGAGGAAATTTACGTCCTTCCACGGTAACTCACTGTATTTTCTTCTCGTGTGAGAACAGAGAGCCCCGCGCTGTCTCCCCACTCACCTTCTCCTTCATCTTCTCGATCTTCTTCACGGAGCTGCGCCGCTGATGTCTCTCCTCCAGCCTCATGTGGAGCACGGGGTCCCCAGACCTCCCCATCTGCTTTTCCTCCTGTTTCTCGGCCTCCTTCAACTTGCTCTCTGCACTGATGCTCTCCGCGTGATACATGTGGTACGTTTTCATCACCTGCGGAAAGCAACCCTGCGCTGTTAAAGGGGCCCCTGTGACTTAGGGCATGAGTGGGAACCTCTGTGGGGCAGGCGTGCCAGAGACAGCAGCTTCACGGGGTGGGGAAAGCCAGGTGGCTGGCCAAACGGGTGAAGGATGGCCCAGCACTTCTACACAAAGCAACAAATATGCAAATTCACCTGCCAGGACAAGGCACTCGGGGGACAGGCTTGGATGAAAAAATGATTTACAGAGTCTTATGCAGACATCTCAGTGTAGCTGGGAAACTCTCATACGCTTCTCAGGGTTTCTCCAATGTCTCCTGCCTTTTATTAATTTGCAGGAAGAAATTGATACATTTACTCATGTATCAAGAAATTGATACATTTACTCATGTATCAAGAAATTGATACATTTACTCATGTATCAATGTTATCCCAACCAAACTCCACAGCAGGACAGTCCTGATAAAAGGTTCTTTTTTTGCATAAAATACACTTGTGACAAAATATAAATATTGAGGTTCATACATAGTTTTATTATAAAAAATGTTGTTTTTTGGACTAGAGTAATACTTTATTTATACTCAGTGTAGAAAACATATGATATGAAAAGAAATATAAAGGAAGAAAGGGAAGAAATTGAAGGAAGGAAGGAAAGAAAGAAAGAAAACCATTTCTAAGATTGTGGTATAGAGGCTGGGCCTGGTGCTCACACCTGTAATACCAGGACTCAAGGTGGGTGGATCGCTTGCACTCAGAAGTTCGAGACCAGCCTGAGCAAGAGCTAGACCCCATCTCTAAAAAAATAGAAAAACTAGCTGGGTGTTGTGATAGGTGTAGCTGGCTGTTGTAGTCCCAGCTGCTCAGGAGGCTGAGGCAAGGGGATCCTCTGAGCCCAGGAGTTTGAGGTTGCTGTGAGCTATGATGCCATAGCACTCTACCCAGGGCAACAGAGTGAAACTCTGTCTCAAAAAGAAAAAAGATGATTGTGGTATACAGCTTTCTAGTCTTTTTCTTATGAAAACACACACTACACACAAACACACTCATTTTAAAATGGCATATATAATTCTTTAAAAAACTTGGATTATCCTGTATGTATAATTTCTAAAGTCCCCTTTAACATAATATTATCTAAACATTTTCTTATATCATTAAATATTCTTCTAAAACATAATTGTAAGGGCTGGATGATTTATTATATGACTATGACATAATTTACCCAATTCCCTATTGCTGGAAATTTTATAATATTTCAACTACTTGCTTTATAAAGTTGTGTTGAAAACCCTTGATGTATATCCTGTTTCTTTTTTCCTAGAATGATAAATATAATTTATATTTTAATACATTTAGGAACATAAAAATAATAAAAATTTTATAATGTATTCTCTCAATGTATATTATAAACTTATGTAATGAATCATGAAATACAAAGTATTAATAATTTAGGTTGCATTAGTGTTCAAAGTGTTTACATACAAAAAATTGCGTCATACTATGTATTTCCTAGGCTAAATTTCCAGAGGTAGAATCACAAGGTTCTACAAGCACATTTTTGAGACTTAGAAATGTATTGCCAATTTTACACTCTGCTAATCAAAACAAACAGACTGATCTAGAGTTCACTGAAAGTACTTCAGATAACATGAGTGCTTAAATATATGGTTTGTCAAATAATAATATGCGTTTATTATTTATTCTTATCAGAATATCCATAAACCCATATATAATCTCCATGTTCTTAGGTATGGAAAAACAATAGCCACAGATTTTTCAGAGATCTTATCTGAAAAATCATAGATTTCCAGTATAATCTTTCTCATCCACAGAAGACTTATTTTACTTCACTTAACTACAAGTTATTCAGAGCCGACTTCATAACTAGGAATGTAGTTGTTAAGAAGTTGGGAGTAATGTAACATTTTTCAAGTAATGAACTTGATTTTTCTTATTTAGAAGGTGGAGTTTTAAAAGGGTTTGGGGCCTGGAAGTGTCACTGGGGTAAATCTGTCTACTCAGGTTGAAGCACGTGACATCCTTCGCTGTTTCTGTAGGTCCTTCACAAAGGCAAACAATCGGCATTTTCTTATGGTTCAACTCAGCACATGTACTCAAGATGACTATTTAGAAAAATAATAAAACATGGGGTTAATGAAGGGCCTTTACTCATTTTCATAAAATGTGATGATGTCTTTCCTTAGAAATCTAAGCTGGTGGATCATGCCAAAGGCCCTGAGAACTCGAGCAAAGCAGGGGCTGGACCACAAAGAGCTGCAGCGTTTTCTGAGCCGTACACAAGTGGCAAGTTGTCTGTTTTTAGTAATTATCGAGCCTACCTGGGGGAGTCTGGTTGGCTACTCCAGTTTAAAAGAAAAATAAAGCGTCAGTAGAAGGCAGCTGGACCGTGGGGGTGTGAGGAGGGTGACGCCTGCAGCTGGGCAGACAGTGCTTGGTGCTCGGCTACACACCTTGCATTTATTTCTAGGCTTGGCTCTGTTTATATGCCCCGCCTGGACCAACCCGCATACCATTTGGGTCCTGGTTCCAGTTACATCTTAAAATGAGGGGGTGTAAAGAGCCCAACTCTCTCTCTCTCTCTCAGCTGGCTGTATTCTTCTTGCTAATAGACAGGAAGGAAGAAGAGAGATTGAGTGACTCCCGTCGTACTTGGATAAAAGGCATCCCAGACAGTCCCGGGTGTGTGAGAAATATTGATTTTAAATACATCACAAAGACAAGACCTGAACTCTTGGTTCCTGCTTTGCTTGGGTACTGAGGACTTAGATAATCAGGAAATTTCCACAAACTAAATCTGAGTATAAGAGCAAACACTCCAAGCTGCCTGCCCGCAGGTGCTCCTGCGAGTCACCTCCCTGGTGAGGAGAGTCAGAGGGGCTGCAGGTGGCTCAGCCCGACCCCAAGCTGCCTGC